TCAGAGAACAGAGAGTTATCTTCAATCCTTGAGGGCTAATGGAATGTGTTCTGCTGACTTCTTGGTGCCTGTTACACCTTCTTTCCCTCCAACTTCTCCCATTTGTAGTGGAAATGTCTAGCTTGTGCCTGCCTGTTGCACCATAGCACCTTTGGAAGCAGATAACTTGTATTTTAGATTTCATAAATGAAGAAGAATTTTTGGATTTTGGACTTGATTTAAGACTTTTGCTATGATATGATGGGGTGAATGTGTCTTACATGTGGAAAGAACCTGAATTTGGGGGGGCCAAAGGGTGGAATGTCATGAATTGAACTGTGTCCCCCAAAAATATGTGTATCAATTTGGCTATGCCATGATTCCCAGTATTGTGTGATTGTCCACCATTTTGTTATCTGATATGATTTTCCTATGTGTTATAAATGCTATCACTATGATGTTAATGAGGTGGACAAGTGGCAGTTATGTTGATGAGATCTAGAAGATTAGATTGTGTCTTGAACCAACCTCTTTTGACATATAGAAGAGAAAAGCCAGCAGAGAGATGGGACCTCATACCACAAAGAAAGCAGTGCTGGGAGCAGAGTGCATCCTTTGGACCCTCAGCACAGGGGCTGAGAAGCTCCTCCAGGGAAGGACTGATGACAAGGACCTTCCTCCAGAGCCAACAGAGAGAGAAAGCCTTCCCCTGGAGCTGAAACCCTGACTTTGGACTTGTAGCCTACTAGACTGTGAAAGAAGAAATTTATCTTTGTTAAAGCCATCCACTTGTGATATTTCTGTTACAGCAGCGCTAGATGACTAAGACACCTCCTCTCTCCAACCTTTTTTTTTTTTTTCCCACCAGTTCTGACCCCAGCCATCTTACCTATGGCACTCTCTGCTTCTCTTTTGGGTTCGATTATTGCAATGGCTACATAGGACTCACAGACCATAATCACAGTTGTGGGGTTTGTTAGGGAAGTAACAGGTTACAATTCAGGATCAGGAATGACTCAGGATACAGTTCTTCGCTCAGGACACCCTGTCAGCCATGCCAGCAGGCAGGCCTCTCTCTCGGCCCCTCAGCCCTTTGGCCCTAGGCCTGGCCTCTGCCTTGCTCAGGCAAATGTTACAAAGCTCTTTAGCAATCCAACAAGTGCCTGGAGGCACCTGCTCTTCCAGCAAGCATACTGTCTGAAGGTGCTCTGCTCTCGCTCTGGCCGCATGGGTCGGGAAGCCCACTGCACTGTCTTGAACTGGTCTCCTGGTTTGGTTCTGCTGCTGCGGTTTCTCTGCTGCCGCTTCTCACTGTCTCCAGTGTTACTGCTCTCTGTCTGTCTCCTGAGTCTAGGAGGTTTTCAGCCCAGGGACCCTGTCATGGATTGAACTGTGTCCCCCAAGAATATCTGTCAACTTGGCTGGGTCATGATTCCCAGCATTGTATGACTGTGTAAGCTGATGTGATTTCCTCTTGTGTTGTAAACTCTATGACTATGATGAGGTTATATGTGATCTCCTTATGTGTTGTAAATTCTATCGCTGTGATGAAGTTATACCGATGAGGTGTACAAGATTGGATTGTGTCTTAATCCAACCTCGTTTGGGATATAAAAGAGAGAAGTGAACAGAGACACATGGGAACCTCACACCACCAAGAAAGCAGTGCCAGGAGCAGAGCACATCCTTTGGACCAGAGGTTCCTGTGCTGACACGCTCCCAGACCAAGGGAAGACTGATGCATCACAAGGACCTTCCTCCAGAACTGACAGAGAGAGAGAGCCTTCTCCTGGAGCTGATGCCCTGAATTTGGACTTGTAGCCTACTGGACTGTGAGAGAATAAACTTCTCTTTGTTAAAGCCATCCACTCGTGGTATTTCTGTTACAGCAGCACTAGATGACTAAGACAGACCCTAAGCCCAAAGGACACTCTCTGCTCCCGGCTCTTCTTCTTCTTGATGGTAGTGAGGTCCCCTCTCCACTTCTGGTATTGGCTCCCTTTAAGCCAACAACAAACAAAAAACAAAAAACAAACAAAAAAACAAAAAAACCATTGCTGTCGAGTCGATTCTGACTCATAGTGACCATACAGAACTGAGTAGAACTGCCCCATAGGGTTTCCAAGGAACGGTTGGTGGATTCAAACTGCTGACCTTTTGGTTAACAGCCAAGCTCTTAACCACTGCGCCACCAGGGTTCCCCTTTAAGCCTATGGGATAGCAAAACTGACTAATCCCCTTGTTAGGGTTCCATACATCTTATTTGCATAGTTCCACTGCCACAAAGGTTCCATGCACCTTATTTGCATTATTAGCAGGCTGTCCAATCCCCTTGGTGGGCCACAAGCACCTTATTTGCATAATCTCACCCAATAATTTTTGTGGGAGTTACAAAGACCATGGCTAGAAGGGCCATATTAAAGTAATTCACTACACTGAAGACCCAGAGGGGTTCCCTAATCCAGTTGGCAGGTGTAGAGGGCATGAGGACATACACTCTGGGACCACCAAGGCAGCACTGGCCTATCTGCCTAGGGTCTGAAAGAAAGAACATTGTAGGCATGGAACCACAGGCCTCCCTGAGGCTTACCTCCACTGTCCCGGATTGAAACTGGCGTGAAGGCTGAGAACTTTATTTGGTGTTTTTATTGGTCGTTGTTCCTGTTGCCAGCAACCGTGAAGTCAATCCCAACTCATGGAGACACGATGCATAATGGAATAAAACGCTATCCAGTCCTGTGCCGTCCCTGTGATTGGTTTTGGATCAGACCATTTGGATCCATAGTGTTTTCATGGGCTAATTTCCAGAAGTAGATCACCAGGCCTTTCTTCCTAGGCTGTCTTTGTCTGGAAGCTCCGCTGAAACCTGTTCAGTATCACAGCAACATGCAAGCCTCCACTGACAGACGGCTGGTGGCTGCTCATGAGGTGCATTGGCCAGGAATCGAACCTGGGTCTCCTGCATGGAAGGTGAGAATTCCACCACTGGACCACCAACGACTCCATTTTAGTTGGAAGCGGGCGAGTAATATGGCCACATTCGTGTGTTAGTTAGTATTGGCAGCAGTGTGGAAGACAGACTGAGAGACGGCATGGGGCATGGGGGAGGGGGACCAACGAAAGCAGGCAGCCACGGATTGGCTGCCTCTGCTGTCTCCTGCCTGCTCTTCCCCTACCTGTCCTGCTGGTCCTGGTATACTGGCCTCTGTTCTCTCTGGATACTCTCTGGAGGTGGTGCTCACCACACCCCTTCCCTGGTCATCTCTGGGAACCCCCAGGCCATATCCCAGGGCCGTACTCTCTGTGTCCCCATGAGGCTGGGGGCAGCTAGGCCCCTCTGGCTGCATGTCCCACGGATAGCTCAGCCTCCTCCACATGTCCAGGCCAGACCAGCTCTCCAGCCTCCCCACCCCCGCCCGCAGCTCAGTCCATCCACCTCCCTGCACTGCCCAGGCCTGGAGATGGCTCCAACTCATGTCTCTCTGACCCCTCCTGCAGCGTCCCCACGAACCTGCCTCTCTGCCCCATGCTTCGTCCTGGCTGCCAGCTCCATCCTTCTACTGTAAATGTGACCACCTCACCGCCCCCCCAACCCCCAACCCATGAACCTAAAGAAACAGAAACACAGGATCTGCCCACGGGTCTCCACCGTCCTGGGAGGTAAACAAGCTCTTCAGCAGGGCATGTGTTCAGCCCTTGTTGATTTATTCACCCGGCAAGTGTTTACTGATGGGCTCCACAGGAGGGACTCGGCAGGAAAGGCAGGAGGGGACCAGAGTGACCCGGCCATCTGTGAGCCCAACAGAGGAGCCTCGAGGGGCAAGGGTAAGACCAAAGAGGGGATGCAGAAGGAGGCAGAGAAATGCTGAGATAATCGAAGGGATGTCTATTAAAGGGCAACAAGGTCATGGTCACCTCTCAGGTTGATAAGGCAAAGAAGCAATGATGCCAAGTGCACTGTTTGGTGAAGGGTGAGATGGCGCAGGCTTACAAAAGACACACGCTCAGCCTCCGACCCAGCGTCTCCACCTCCAGGAACGTGCTCTGTAGATGGTCCACTTCTGCGCGCGAGGATACCAGTAGGGGCAGATCAGACAGCGGGCGTCTAGCTGGAGAAAAGAAAGGTTAGGATTCAAGAAGGTAACAACGTCTAGGTGTTGGCGAGGACCAGCCTAGAGAACGATGGGGGCCTCTGTATTCACACGTGTTATATATATATGTGCATATGTGTAATACACACACCAAGCCCTCCCCAAACCCAAGAGAAAACCAGAAAGTCCCAGCCTCCAAACACACACAGAGGAGTCTGCCGCGGGGGCAGTGGATGACGCGCTTCACTTTTTATTTACTTGAATTTCTTACAAAATCCATTTGATCCGTTGGTAATGGGGGAAAATGGTTAAATTTTTAGAATACAGCCTCTAGACAATCCTGACGAGGGGTCCGGAAACTGCCTCCATAGAGAATGGAACAGCCAGCTCAGTGCCCAATTCCGCCCCCTCTCCACCCATCTCCAGAGCCTAGCCAGGCTCCGGGGGACCGAGGCTCCGGGCTGAGCACCTCCGGGACGGCGTTGCCAGGCGACTCTAGAGGAGCGAGTTTGGGGTGGGGCCGTCAGGTTTTAGCCCCAAACTCCATCCCCAGAGGCGTGGGGCTGGGGAGGAGCGCCCCGCCCAGTAGGGAGCCCGGCTCCGCCTTCTCCTGGAGAGAGAATTTAGCTCTAGAGGGTGCTGAGGGCCGGCGCCGTCCCAGGAGAGATCCCGGACCGCCAACTGGCCAAGTGACTCCCGACCTGCTATCCTCCGCGCCCCCAGAAGCACCGACAGACCCGGGACCCGCCCGGACCAGTTCACGGGCAGGACCTGGGGTCTGCAGGACCGCAGGATCCAGCCTGCCCCGCCACCACCCGGCCCCCCGACCGCGGAGGGCTCCCCAGGTGCGGAGGAGGAGGGTGGCGCGAGGCTAGGGCCGGCGCCCCACGACCCCCCGCCCTCCCCCCGCCGGCCCCTCCCCCGCCTGCCATGGCGCGGCTCCTGGCAGTTACCCTCGGTTGCATCAGCCTCCTGTACCTGCAGCTCCCTGGAGCGCTGTCCCTCGGCCTGGGGGGGCGCCCGCGTCCCTCCCGATTCAGGTGAGTGCGGCTTGGACCAGCCCCAGCCCTGGCCCTGTGGCAGCAGGAAGCCAGGACGCCTGGGAACCCCCCTAATCAAGGGCCAGCGCCCCTTGCCTTCAGCAACACCTGAGCTGGGTGACAGGTGTCCTTGCTCCTCGCCGTAGGGCACTTGCCCTGCCCCCCCTACCAAGGAGGGATCTGCTGGGGGAGGGGCTGGAGGGACCCTCAGGCCTGCCTAGCTCCCACCACTCCGAGGGATGGGTCCAGGGAGTCACCCCAAGTTCTGAATGTAGTGACCCACAGAGGCCTGGGGTGCCCTTTGCCTGGGGAGGTTAATAGGGCATGTGACCTGGGGCCACTGAGATGACTGAGCGGCCAGGTCCCAGGCCCTGAGCCCCAAAAGGGACTGTGGGCTTCCCCTGGCAGTCCCAGGCTGGGTGTGAGCGGGGGCTCTGGGATTCCCCTGGAGGCGCTCCAGGCTACTGGGGAAGCCATGGGCTTCCTCTGCTAGTGACCACAGGGCTGCGTGGAGGGGAAAGTCGGTGGGTTTGGGATCCCTAAAAAGCTGGACCATTCGGTTTGCTCCCCACCCCTGTGCAGGGAACCCTTGGCCCGGACCTCTTCCAGAAGCCTGCGTCCCCGGCACCCCGCACCCCAGCCTGTGGTCTGGAAGCTGCACCAGGCCCCTCAGCCACAGAAGAGCACTAGTCTGGCTGCTGCCTTGAGCCAACCTCCCCAGGACCATGGCCGAAGACACTCAGGCTCCTGGCACTCAGGACCCCGCAGACCCCGAGCCCAGCTCCTGCGGGTGGGCTGCGCGTTGGGGACCTGCCAGGTGCAGAACCTCAGCCATCGCCTGTGGCAGCTTGTGGGGCAGGCCAGTCAGCAGGACTTGGCCCCTGTGGACCCCAGCAGCCCTCACAGCTACGGCTGAGCTGGGTCGGCCACAGCCCACCTGCCCTGCCCAATGCCGTGTCCAGCCCCCAGAGCTCCTGCAGATGGTGGATTCCCAGAAAGGGGCGCAGGCCCCAGAGTAGCCCGCTCTCACCCTCCAACCTCCCACATACTTGAACATGGTTCTGGACATGTAAACCCTTGTGTATGTGGGCACCAGGTAGGCCTCATCCCGGGGACCTGCACACCCCCACATCTGCACACACAGAGGGGCAGGTGGACCCAGCACCTGGGTGCTCCCCTCCCTGTACCTATGCGGAACAGGGCTTAGGGGGAGAGGCCGTGGCAGATGGAACAGAAGCCAGGGTCCTGAACACACAGGGCCAGAGAGGGGCAGGGTGGGCTAGATGCTGTCCCCTCCCTCACGGGTTCCAGCATTGGATCAAAGCCCCTCTTTGCAAGTCCTCCCAGAAGTCTCAGCTTCCCCTTTCTCCCACCGCATCCCCCAGGCAGGGCTAAAGGGCAGAGGACTGGACAGCTTGGGACCTGCTGTGGGCCAGGTGTGGGGAAGGGAGGCGGAGGGGCCACCCAGGAGCTTGGGAACGACCCTGGTCATCCTGGGCTGAAGAGTGGAGCAGAGCTGGGGCCCCAATGCCAGGGTAGGGCTGGGCCGGGGTGAGGGGGCCCCCAAAATAGAGAAATGAAAATCCCTCTCCACCTCAGGGGGGTGGAGGTGGCTGAGCAAGAATGAGATTGAGCAGGTGACACAGGCCCTGGCCCTGGGGACTCAGTGGGACAGTGGGGGACAGCAGGGGCTTGAATAGGCTCGCCCCCCTGAGCCCCACCAAGGCTGGGGAGACGGGCCTCAAATGATAGCAATAAGAACAATGACCACAGCCAGCATGTGTACAGTTCTTGGTATGCGCCTGCCCCAAGTCACCAAAGTCCTGATGAACCCCCATACTACCCCAGAGAACCCGGGCTTCGCTCACACAGCACTTCATCTGCACAGCCCCCTGTGAGGTGGGCACTACCCTCACCCCCACTTTAGAGAGGTCGGGGACTCACACAGCACTTCATCTGCACAGCCCCCTGTGAGGTGGGCACTACCCTCACCCCCACTTTAGAGAGGTCGGGGACTCACACAGCACTTCATCTGCACAGCCGTCGGTCCCTGTGGACCCTGCCACTGACTAGAATTGCAGCAGAGGGTGGTCAGGGCTATGACAGAGAGCATGGCAAGGCAGTCAAGGAAGGCTGCTTGGAAGAAGCAGCAGTCGAGGTGGGACTAGAGGAATAGCAGGGGTTCACCAGAGCTCCAAGGCTTGAGCCCACAGGGCATGTGGCTGGGGTGGTCTGGCAGCCAAAAGCAGCTAAGAGAGTTTGGAGCCCAGCTGAGTCAGAGCTGGAGAGGTCAGAGACCTGGTCTCAGAGCCACGTACCCTGTGGCCACTGGGGGGGGATCGAAGAAGGCAGGCAGGGACTGGTGTTTAGATGATGATAGTGGGGGAGGGGAGGCCGTGAGGAGGCGGGGGGCAGCCTGCCTTGGTGTGGCAGTGTGGATAGACAGTGGACAGGACGAGGGAGACGGGAGGTGGGAGAGGAGGAGTCCAGGGGGAGCAGGAGTAAATTGGGTAGAGTCAGGCACTCAGTACCCACAGAGCAGCTCTGCCAAAACCTGGGCTCCCTGGTCCCTGGAGTAAAGTCCATCCTCACACCCCCTCCTGGAAGTGCCCGGTGCCCTGTGACCTGTGTGCAGTCTGTTCCTTGGCACACACTGTTCCTTCTTCCAGGAACACCTTCCACTGCCCATGAGTACAAACACATGTGCGCACACATGCAATGGACACGCAGGCACACATGTGCGCACACTTACAAGCACCCACACACGTATATACAAGCACACGCGTGCATGAACACGCAGGCAAAACCTTCCTCACGGTAACCCCTTGCATCCTCTAGGCCTGCGGGGGGACCTCGGGGAAGGGGTGAAGGCACAGGGATTCTGCTCCACCTTCGCCAAGCCTCTGTGGCTTCTCCATCAAGTGGACGCCTGTGGCCCTCGCTGCATGACTGTGCATGTGACGGAGGTCACAGTGCCATGATGCCACGTGGCCCACACCCAGGCAGCTCACAGCCACCCCCGAGTCCCAGACTGTGTGCTGGTTGCCCATCTGACACCCCTACTTGGAGCTCCCCCAGAGCCTGCTCCGACTGTGGTTCACACCCTCAATCCAAATCCTGTCGACCCCCACCTCAAAGACATACCAGGATTCCGGCCACAGTCACCTGCTCCAGGGCCGAGCCCTACTTGCTTCTCAAGATCGCCCTAGCCCTCCCTGGGGTCCCCCACTCCATCCATCCAGCAAATATTTTTGGAGAACCTGCGGTACGGGGAGACACATCAGGACATGCCCGCAGCAGTCCTTGAACTCCTGGGGCTGACGTTCTGGCTGGGGAGGCAGAGACAGGCAAACAGGTCAAACATAAGTCAGCAAGCTATGGCCGTGGCAGTCAGGTAAGGGGCCGTGGGAGCTGCAGCCAATCTGAACGGGGCGGGCTAGTGGTGCTGGGGTCCCCTCATTTATTCTCAGCTGCCGCAGGAACCTGCTGAGCGTAAGTCAGATGACGCCATTGCCAGGACGTCTCCCTCGGAGGATGCCCCAAACAGGCCTCATGACCTTCTCCCTGGTTCCTACCGGACGGAATGTCCTCTGGTGTCCGTGACTCCACCCGCCCCGCCCCCGGCCTCCCCACTTCCTCCTTGTCAGTAACACCTGCCTCTTTCCAATACAGTCGAGACTGGTGATTGATTTCGTGTCTGTGGTCCCTGCTGCACCCTGACTGCTCCGTCAGGGTGTGTAATCCATTCCTGACCTTGGCTTCAACGGCATCCTCATCCCACACCCACACCCGGAGTCACAGCATCGACTCCCTGAGACCAGGCAGCGGGGGATGGGTGGTGGCGAGGATGGAAGGGCCCCCCTGCGAGTGGGACCTGGTCACGCTGCCCTGGGTATAGGAGTTCAAGTGTGGCCAGCCCGTGTGGTGAGGGCAGGGGTGTTCAGAGCCAGCTGCAGAGTGGCCAGGACAAGCTTCCCCAGGCCAGTTGCTCAGGGTGGGGCAGGCCAGGGTCAAGCAAGGGCTGAGGCCGCTGGGGGCTGTCCCTGAGATGACACATTAACTCACTGAGACCAGGCAGTAGGGTAGATGGTCACTCATTACCGAGGGCCAAGGCCACGGGGCTGGGTGATGTCAGGTCACTTACGTAACCTACCAGCGTATATAGGTCCTCTGGCCTGGGGGACTCTGGCCCACCCGTGCCCCGTTCCCTCTCAGAATGAAGGTGGTTGTGGTGAGTACTGGGACCCTGTGGTCAACCGATCCCTCAAGGAGGGGCAGCACCCTCCCCTCCCCTCATTTGCGTCCCACCGGTCCCATTCCATCCAGCCAGTCAAAGGGCTCCCTCCTGCCTGGGTGTTGGTCCAGCTGGGGCAAGGGTCAGCGGTGCCCGACCCCAGGGTTCCTGTGGTCCAGGTGTCTCCCTGGGGCGGCTGTCACTTTCTGAGCCGCAGGCGCCAGGGCAGGCCACTGTGGCTCCCTCACAGCATCCCCCCAGGCCAGTGGATCCCTGGAAGCAGGAGGTAAGGACCTTGAGGAGAGAAAGATAAGGACATCCAGGAGAGAGAACTCCTCAGACCAGGGGGACCGCGTCGGGTGGTGGCTGTGAGCGGCCGCTGTGCTCTGCTGCCCACCTTGGGCCTCAGGCTGCCCATCAGGGCTCCCTGGGGGATGTCCTCATTTCCTCACAGGGTTGGCATGAGGATGAAACAGGTTAACTCCCCTTCCCAGGGACCAGACCCTTCCCTGGTCTACCGACCGGATGTGGACCCGGAGACAGTCAAGGACAAGAGCAGCTTCCGAAACTACACTGTGAGGCTCAGTCCACCCCACCCCGCCCCTCCCCAGGCAGAGCCTTGGCTCCTGGGTCTGAGGAGAACAACGTTACCCTGAACAACTCCAGGGGGCGCCATTGGGAAACCCCTCCCCTGGAGTGCTGGGGTCTGGAGGGCCACCCCCACTCACACCTTGTGGGGCCCAGCCTGAGAGGCAGTGAGACCCTGAACAACTCCAGGGGGTACTATTGGGAAGCCCCTCCCCTGGAGTCGTGGGGTACAGGGGGCTGCCCCCACTCACACCTTGTGAGGCCTGGCCTGGGAGGCAGTGGGGCCCTGGGTGTGAGGCCTCTGGGGGCCGGGCAGGGTGAACGCCAGGCTGACCTGTGGCCTTGCAGTCGGGCCTGCTCCTGGACCGCGTCTTTGCCACCTACAAGCTCATGCACACACACCAGACAGTGGACTTTGTCAGGAAGAAGGTATGCCTGGCAAGGACGTCCTCACCCTCTGAACAGAGTCGGCCCGGGTGGCAGTATTGCAGGTCGGCCCAGCCCGCAGCTGTGCTGATGTCCCTCTCTGGCCCAGCATGCCCAGTTCGGAAACTTCTCCTACAAGAAGATGACCATCCTGGAGGCAGTGGACATGCTGGACCAGCTGATAGATGAGTCGGACCCAGATGTGGACTTCCCCAACTCCTTCCATGCCTACCAGACCGCCGAGGGCATCCGGAGGGCCCACCCCGACAAGGGTGCGCCCCACCCCAAATGAGGGGGCTGTAACCATGCAAGGAGTCAGCTGGGTTGGTGGGTGGGGGAGCCCTCTGAGCCCCAACCCCACTGTCTGTCTCCTCCCAGACTGGTTCCACCTGGTTGGGCTGCTGCACGACCTGGGGAAGGTGCTGGCCCTGGCTGGCGAACCCCAGGTGAGGGCTGGGGCCTGGAAAGGGCTGCCTGGCTGGGCTTGGGACACCCAGGCCCATGCCCACCAGACTGTCTATCCCCAGTGGGCTGTTGTCGGAGACACCTTCCCTGTTGGCTGCTGTCCTCAGGCCTCTGTAGTTTTCTGTGACTCCACTTTCCAGGACAATCCTGACCTCCGGGATCCTCGATACAGGTGCCCCCCGACCCCTACTGCCAGTTCCTCCCTCCCCAGGAGGCTCCTCAGCCCCACTGACCCCAATTTCCCACTGCAGCACGGAGCTTGGCATGTACCAGCCCCACTGCGGGCTTGAGAATGTCCTCATGTCCTGGGGCCACGACGGTGAGGCTGGCTGGAGGGGGAGAGGATGGGAGTACCACCCCTAAGGCTAGGGGCCTGGTAAAGACCCCCTCTCTCTCTCAGAGTACATGTACCAGATGATGAAGTTCAACAAGTTCTCCCTCCCCCCGGAGGTAGGGGGCGTCTAAGTGGGAGCCCACCCCAGCCCAGCCCAGCCCAGCCCAGCCCAGCCCAGCCCAGCCCAGC